GAGATATTAAGCAGGGGAGGGGCAGAGGGAGAGAGAGACAAAATCCCAAGCAGGCTCCAGGCTTATCGTGGAGCCTGACGCGGGGCTCGATCCCATGACTGTGAGACCGTGATCCGAGCGAAATCAAGAGTCGGACGTTCAACCCACTGAGCCAACCATGTACCCCAAAACAAATTATGTACATAATGATTAATAACAGGTATCCAGGGTCGCCACGGGCTCCCATGACGGAAACTGTTAGCCATTCGATACCTGCCCAGGAAAACGTGTGCAGTTTACAACCTCGACGCAAGCGGCCTCTGTTCTGCAAACAGCCCGGGACCTGGGTAGGAGTAGGCGCCCGCAGTGAGGACGCCTGGGCCTCAGCCTCTCTGTCCGCAGACCCCTGGGGTCGAGAGAGCTGCGAAACAACTTGCCTCTGGAGCCAGGAGCAGAGAGACCGCCCTTGCGACTTTGGTCCTGGTCATCAGTGAAGACGCCTCCTGAGCTAAAAGGGAAGTGAATGAAGCCATCAGGGCGGCTCGGGCTCCTCCCGGCCTGGTCACTAATCCCTGATGGGCCGCCTCACACCAGGGCCTCTGGCCAAACAAGACTTCCTTCTTGGAACCCGACCTTGGGGTTTCGTGACACCGACTCTGGGGAAGGGCCTGAGCGCTCCGGTCCGGACAGGGACGTGCGTGCTGGCGGTGGCCTGGCCCCGAGGCGCGCCGGTCACCCGGGCGCAGGGCTGCAGGCGGGATCCTCGCCCAGACTCCGCGTTCCTGAGGTGGCACGGGCCGAGCGCACAGAGTCCTAACGTTCCCACCCCGCCAACGGGCCAAGGGCGACAGGAGAAGGGCCTCTGAGTTGGATGGAGGAGGGAGGAGGCCGGGTGGGGTGGGGACCAAGCCCAGGCCAGCAGTCCCAGGAGGGTGCGCAGCCCCGTGTCTCTGTTCTGCGTGGGCTGGGAGCAGGGCGGTGATCTTCTGGAGCCCTGCAGGGACCGCAGCCCGTTCCACCCGTGAGGGGTGACGGGAAGTACCGACACACGCAGGACAGGGTTCAAAAACACCACCAGATCAAGTATAACAACTGTTGCTTTTGAAAAATCTTCCAATATGTCAATTAAATAAGTAACTGCTTTACCGTTAAAGACACCCACAGAGAGAATTTTTAAAAAACAAGCAAACCACATCCATAGGAACTTATGAGTTTAGAGGACGCTTTCGGGTCACCTGGGTGGCCTCCCAGCAGAACCTGCCATCACCGTCACCGTGTCCACAGCCGGCAGTGGCCGGCACTCCAATGCGAGTGCTTCCTGACATCAGGGGCACGGAGCTCCCGTCAGGAAACTCTTTTCTAGGCCTTTCCAGCCCCTGGTGCCGGCTCTTGCCTGGAAAACACGGCCTCCCCCGCTGTCCCTCACACCTGCTCTCTCTCCTGCGCTTAGGGCGAGACGCGGACATGAGCCCCTCTGCCCACGGTAAGCGCGTACGTGGCTTTCCGCCAGGCACGCCAACGGCACCCCTGCTTTCTCTCTGCCACGTGCTCAGCCCCTGCCTTCCTCCTGCCTTTCCAGAGGTCCCCACGCAGGCTGGACCCACAAGAATGCACTCGCTCCCTCAGCACCGCCCTGGCCCTGGCCGTCGTCATGTTCTGTGTCAACGCTGGTGACACGGCGGGCCATGAGTGACCCCAGGGCCCTGGGGCCATCCAGACCGCTGGCCTTTCTTCCCCAGTTCTCCAGGCACCTGGACAGCAGCCCCGGACAGGCCGGGCGGCTCCCTCAGGGGCCGACAGATTCGAATCGGAAGCTTGCAGGTGCCGGATGTGCAACTGATCTGGAAAGAAGATACAAGAGTTCAAGAGGCTCCCGCGTCCAAAACGCCAGGGAAGGGAATCACGTGAGTGCTCGCGGCCCCGCAGTCACAGCTCGCCACCGAGAAGTTCTACGCTGACGCAGAAATGACATTCTTCCCGTCTGTCCTTGGTGGCATTAAGGAAATCGGCCCACCACCACATCGGTGGAAGAGCCCCTGGATCCGCTGCGGTTGTCGGCAACAGTCTCGTTTACCAGGCCGCTCCCCGCGCTGCGCCGATGGCCGTCTTTGTTCCTCTCCGAGGACACCGTGGCCTAGGTCCTGCTACACCATCATTCTCCTTCAACACGGGACGATGTGTGATACAACGTGAGGTGAAAAAGGCAGGACAGACATCCGTGAACTGTGATAAATACACGCACACGCACGCACACGCGCACATGTACGGACAGGGCCGGAAGGAAACCCACAGAGTCCTGGCTGTTCCACTGTCCAGGCCACTCGTTAAATGTAGGACTTTCCTAGAAGGGCTTTGCTGTGGGGCCCATTTTAAAGGAGTGAGACCCTACCCCACTTCAGACCTCAGTGCTCACTGCCCTAGACCCCCCTGCCCGAGTCCTTGCGTTGTGACAATATCATCCACTCAGATTTCCACCCAGGAGGCCGATGTGCGCTGGTCCGCTGACGGGAGTGGCGTCTGCACCTCCTCCCTGCTCGCCCCTCTGGCTTCCGCCCTGCAGACCTCACGGGAGTGCCACAGACTGAAAGCATCTTCCCCAAAGCTACTCACTGCACAGACTTCAACTCTATTCAAGGAAAACCAACCAAACATCACTGTTTCTAAAATAAAGCATTTATCCAAAGTAAAATATCTCAAATAGTTTGCATTTTTTTTAAAATATAATTTATTGTCAAGTTAGTTAAATACGGCGCGTACAGGGCACTCTTGGTTTTGGGGGTGGATTCCCATGATTCATCGCTTACATACGACACCCAGTGCTCATCCCAACAAGTGGCCTCCTTGGTGCCCGTCACCCGTTCCCCTCCCCCGGCCCCTCTATCAACGCTCAGCTTGTTCTCTGCATTTAAGAGTCTCTTATGGTTTGCCTCCCTCTCTGTTTGAAACTATCAAATAGTTTGCATTTTGAAGCAGACTTCGATGCCAAAGTGATGCTGTCCAGTGGCCCAGCATTTGAGAAATATTCTGCTTCCTGAGACCTCAGCGCTGCCCCTGGATTTCACAGAACTCCCACATGCTTGTCCAGAAGGATCACGCAGGGCCCCAGCCCATCCCCATCCTGGGGAGGGAAGACCAGGAAACCGGGCCATGCAAGCTGCCAGTGTGATAGAGCGACAGCAAGGTGGCCCGGCTCCGCGGGAGGCCCTCTGTGCCCGCAGGTGCTCTGCCACAACCTTGCGGCTGCGTGCTTTAGGGTCTGGGAGTGGAGGGGATGCGGGGGAGGGGAGAAAGGAGAGCAGGTCCGTCTTCGTCGCAAATACACACAGGACGACCTCAGGGTCTCTATCTTGCAAACGCGATTTTCATATCTTATCACAGGTACGTACGCACTTCATATACACGTGACTCAGTTTCAGTCAACAGGGCACAGGTTCCCAACTACCGCTGAGCGACAACTCTGTGCCACGCGTCTCCCAGTGCGGTCAGTGTCCGTGAATCCAGAGGTCAGGTGACCGCTGAACTTACAGACCACGGAGGCTACACGGGGAGAGCAGTCTCCCAAGTCCGGGAACCCGTGTGCTGACCCACAAGGAAATACTCACGCTCACCTCCTGTGTCCCAGCAGACGCTCCGTGCACGTGGACGCCACGGCTGCAATTTCCCACCAAGCGTTAGTGGAGTCAGTATTTTGTCTTTAAAGGTTGGGGTTAAAGTCAGGGGGGCTGCAGAATTTGATCAGACACAACCGCCGGTTTCCTCCATTGTGCATAATTCGCGCGCTCTAAGAGACGTGCCTTCAAACGAAATGCCACACCGCTTTTCCCCAGGGAAAGGTGAGCTAGTGGCCAGCACCACAAACGAGGCAGCACACGCGCACACACCGGGAGAAACACGTTTTAGTTTGGGGTTACGGTTTTAGTTCAGAGCTTTAAAAAAGTAAGCAGAACGATATTTTCAAAAGGAAAAAAAATACCTTAACTGCATCCTTTAAACGGGCTGAACTGAGAGATTAGGACCCTTGCATTCAAGAGCTGCTGTTCCCTCACCGGTCACCACTGAGATGCTACAGGGGACACAGCAGACAAACCGGTGACAAAGGGCACTCGGGCATGTCATCACTGACACATCCCGGACCCACATCCCGGGTACGCCCAGCTCCGTCGCCAGCCTCCTGAGAGCGAGCCAGGCTCGTCATGGAGACGACCAATCCCGGGAGGCCCAGCCCAGCTTCGTCTCGGACGCTGACGCCTGCGTCATTTCCGTGGCATCTGCGAGCCTCTCCCGCCGACACAGAAAAACACGCAGGAGCCAAGTGTGGGCTCTGCAAAACGCCAAGGCTTCCAATCGACGAGAAGATGAAGCGTATGAGGCCCCACTTACGATGGCCCAGAGGCCCCGACACACCGCCTTCCACCCTCACAGAGCGGCCCGGCCTTTCTGACGGCCAGAGCAGCGTCCCTACGGCGTCCGCACTGGCGAGACGCGGGCCCGGCGAGACGCGGTTATGTGAACAAGGAAACGACCCCACCGGAGAGGTACTTGCCGCTGAGCAGAGGCTTGTTGAGGGCGTACAGCGGGGGCAGGTCTTCTATGTTTGCGATCCGCTGGTACATGGCCCTGGAGAGGTGGTCCCCGTGGTAGAGACTGCCCAGGATGATGCTCGAGAAGTAAATCGGCTCCACGAAGATGCTGAGCAGTGAGCCCTGGACGCCCACCACGTTCCACCTGGGGGCAGAGGGAACACACGCTTGAGTGCAAGGGGGGGGGGGGGTCCGTGTCGCACGCGCACCGAGCCAGCACCACGCACGGCTGCCTGGTCGCACTCACGCGCCCCGATGTGTACAAACAGGAGAAGACAGCACTTAAAAATGTTAACTGACGTAGAGAAAATCCTACTTAACAATTATTCGGAGCTGTGGAAACATCTCTTGCCTTTGTGCCTCCCGTGACACACCCTCTGAGGCTCAGTTCTAAAAGAAGGTTCAGTGAGCCACGTTTCTTGGGAGAAAAGTCAGAAGAGAAAGTAAATCTTTATGTTATTACTTCCAATAAAAACAACTGCAAAGGAGATGCTGAAAACATCAAACCAGTTGCCTGCTCCTTGGTGACAACCCCGGGCGGGGCCTGGTCTGACACATGCAGGGAGGCTCGGCTGGAGGTGGGGGGTGAGGTCCCTGCGGCGGCCGGCCCTCCCCGGCCCGCAGCGGGGACTGACCCGAGCAGGACGGCGCAGGACGGGAGACCGTGTGCTCGGCTGACGCTGGTCAAGATGCGTTCCCATCACTGACAACCTAGGCTCCTGCTTGAGCCTCTGCCCTCGCACCGGCATGGCCCTGCCCCCTTCCCACGTCCTACAGACAGCAGCAGGTGCTGGGCACCAAGTCCGTGGGGCTGGGAAGACGCGGCCCACGTGTTCTGGGGCCAGGGGGCCGTCTGGACTGGGGGCGAGTGGAGCCAAGGCAAACACACGATCAAGAACATAAGTGGAGGGAAATCAATCCAAGGGAAGGCAAGGTCCCCAGAAAAGGAAAACTTCGGGGAAGGTCCTGAGGGCAACCTTGAGTTGCAACCCGGGTCCTGGGGGCCCAGCCAGACCCGGGAGGGGGTGCAGTGGCTGCCCCGAGAGGAAGGAGAGGAAGGTCGGGGGAAGGCAGGGCCAGGACCTACCCGGGCAGCCTGAGGCCGGTGGGGAGCCACCACTCCATCTTATTTAGTGGAAGTGTTTTTAGGAGACGACTCACCTCCACGTTCCTCTGTGTGTCAGGAAGGAGCCACAGGCAGAGGCCGTGGGAAGGCCGTCTGCAGGTCACAAGCGGGTGGGGACAGGGAAGTGAGGCCCCTCTTAGAAACATCCTGGGCTTGGGTCTAGGGGGCTGCAGGGTCTGGACAGGACGTGGGGGCGGGGCTGGGGTATCGTGCAGTGAGGCCCAGGCCACTCCGTCTAGAGCCCTCCCTCCCCCGCTCACACTGCTCTCACCTCACGGCCACTGGACTTCAGGCTGAAGTCCAGTGCACCCCCCCCCACGCCCTCATGTTAGGAGACAGAGGGCAGTGCCCAGTGGGTCAATGCTGGCAACCAGTGGTGGCACAGGGTTCTCTGCCCAGACTCCTGACCCACCCAGCTCCACGCTCTGTTTTCGGGCTCTCCTGCTGGCTCCTGTCACCGGCTGGCAGCCAGCAGTGCTGGGGACCTCCTTTCAGAACAGACCCCGGAGCCGACTCCTTGCATTGCTCCCGCAGGTCCCCACCTGCTGCATCGCTGTCGCCCCCCCCCCCCCACCATGGCCCATCCCTGGAGAGCAGCCATGTGACCCTGTGACAACAGGCCAGGCCTGGTCACTCCCGTGCACAAAACCCTCCAAGGCCCCTATCTTCTCCCTAGAAAACACCATAGTTCCAAAGGTCTGTGCAACTGTTGCCCACCCCCCTCCATGCCTGGGCCGCCGGGGCGAGGCCTCCCGGCCACTCCTCCCAGGTCCTCCAGCCTCCTGGGTACGGTGCCCCCGCCTGTTAGTCTCTGCAGCAAGTTCCTCTCAGGGGACGCTCCCGTGTGCCCTCCTGGGCTACCTACATAATCTACGGTCTACCGGTCATAGCTGTCCCCTCCCCCCACCCCGCAACCAGCGTGCAAGCTCCACGGAGGAGAGGTTTCGGCTGCATTCGCTGAGCTCTCCGGCGCTCAAACTACACACCTGCCAGATCAATAACGCACGCTGAAGGGGGAGCCCCCAGCCCTGCGTGTGCCTCCCACCCCCTAAAAAGGAAGGTCAAACGCAGGTCTTCCTATCCTGCAAGAAAAAGCATGAAGTGCTCACAAAAATCGCAGGGCAGCCCTCCTTATGTACATTCAAGCCTGCGTAGGGGTTTAGACCATTTTAGGGGGAACTCGGCCTCCCAGGACAACCTCTAAAACAGTGACTTTGCAGAACCCTGTACTTGGCAACGAGTCATTGATTCTGAGCACGTGCTTCTCGGCAGGACTCTAGGAGCCGTGACGGCCCCTTGGAGGCCCTGGCGGGAACGCGGGGCGTGCCCCCCGCTTTGGCAGATGGGCTCCTGCCGATGCACCTTACAGACCCCTGGGAGGGCGAGGAGAGCAGACGCCGCCGGGCTCCAGGCAAACGACGCCCCCCAGCTGACCTCTGCAAAGACTGCGAACTGGCTCAGCCCCGCGTGAGGGTGCAGGGGTCCACGGCGCTGTGCCGGGCGATGCTAGAAAGAACCAGGCAGGTGCCCACACGCTCCGGCCTCTCTCGATCCCCTCCCCCCGTGACTTCTTGGAGGCCAGGGCTCAGAGCACTGTCGCCCGGCCAGGTCCCTGATAGAGCTTCTCCACAGCCGCCCACGGCTTCCACGGGAGCGCGGGGGCCCTTCTCCCCACCGCACGGCTCTCCCCACTGGGCTGTCTCGGAGTGTGCCCACACAGGAAGCCCCGGCTTCCTCCCTCAGCTCCACGCAGCTGGGTGCACAGAGGCTGTGGTCGTCAGAACCAAGGTCACCCCACCTGCTTCTCCACGGGATTCGCTGCGAGGCTGCCCCCACGCAGCCTTCTCGGCCAAACCGCCCACCAGACAGACGCATGGTACCTGGTGACCCTTGGCGTCAGTGCCGTGCCTCCCTCCCCGCCCCCAGCCCACGGTGGCCTCGCCCCTAAGCCTGCCCCCTGCCCCTGTCCCGTGCTCTTCCGACGGAGTGACCCTGCCTCTCTGGGAGGCACACAGGTCAGCCCTGCCTTCCAGAAGGGACTCCCGAGATGCTCTCGTTCCCTTGGGGCGGAGACTGCAGCCAGCTGGTAGCCTGCAGGCCACCAGAGCATTTCCGAGGACTTTTCTAACCCTCCAGCCCCCTGGCCAGGTGTTGGTGTGACTCGGAATAACGAGCCCCTTTCAAGCCCCTTTCAAGCACTCTGGAGCTTATGCTAATGAGGTGACCCGGGAGGGTGGGGGCCGGTCCACAGGGACAAGTGGGCCGGAAGCCCTCCACCCCGAGGGCGCAGGGAGCTATGGCAGTGGGGGGCAGGGAGCGGTGAACAAGCAAGGAGCTGGAAGGGAGGTGCCATATGCCCGGAGACGCGGATGCTCCATACGCCCCCGAACCTTCTCTTCTTCCACCTGGCTGTTCCCGAGTTGTATTCTTCATAACCAACCGGTAGGTGTTAAGTAAACTGTTTTCTCTGACTTCCGTGAGCTATATTAGCAAACTGTTCAACCCGAGGACTGAGTCCAATAGCCGAGTGGGACAGGGTGCGGGAGCCCCGGGCCCAGTTCTAGCAGATGCAACTGTCGTCTGCAGGGGGGGCAGTCCCGTGAGGCCCAGCCCTTAATCTGCGGGGTCTGCATGAGCCCCAGGAGGCATCCCAGGGACCTGGAGAACTGTGCGCGTGGGCGCCCACACACCACACCGTGAGAGGTGAGAGAGGCAGCAGGGGTGGTGGCTGTCTCCATGTTGTCCCTTCTAGAAGCATCCTGCCCCCTTTCCTCCAGGCCTGTGTGTCTGCCTTGTCTGCTGTTTGCACGGATGACGCGTAACCAGTTTACAGGCACAGGTCGTGAGGGTTCCCGTCCGTGAGTTTTGACTTTCACGCTCACGAGTGTCACCCCATCTCAACAAGACCTGGAACGTTTCCTTCTCGCCTGCAGGGACGCTTCTTCAGGCAGCGCCTCTGAATTACCAAGCTGCAGGAATTGGCTTTATCGGCTGGGTTCTCACCTCTTGCTGGTTATAGAAGTCAGAGTCTCTTTCCCCAGTGTGTGGCTTTTCTCTTCACTGTATCTAAAGGGGTTTTGGTAAATAAGTTTTAAATTTCCAAGTTAGTCAAATTTATTCATGTTTTTCTTTCTAATTTGGGCTTTCTGCGCCTTGATTGAGAAATCTGCTTAAGTGGAAGCCACAAGGATTGCCAGGACCCACTCTTCGCGTTCAGCTCCGTAATTTGCCTGGAATGTGCTTCTGTGTGCCGTGTGAAGGGGCCTGCTTTTCTCGGAGCATAAACACGCTCTGGGACTGTTTGCCGACCGCAGATCCCACACGCAGCAGCACCTGCAGTCCCGTTCCCTCCCCCTCTAAGCAGCACAGCCGCCATCCCGGCTTGGGGGCGGGGGGGCGACGTGCGAGCCCGCTGGCCCCGGCTGCCTGCACGCGCCTGGGCCGGGTTCCAGGTGATGGGACACAGCTGCCACGTGACTGTGCCTGTGGCGGCCGGGCCGCCCCCGGCCGCCCCTCCTTCCTGCCACCGTGGCAGCTCAGACCAGGCGCCGGAGGATTCGGGGGGGAGGGGGCGCTGTGGCACCCCGAGGACAGAAGATGCGTCCTGGATGCAGCAGGAAGACGGAACCCGGACGACCCACCGACTTCTGGACCTGACTTTCTGTGAGACAGAAATAAACTTCCATCTGGTTTACGTTTCCCCTCAAATGCGGGCAAAGCTGCCACCAGTCGTTACCAGTCTCACACTGCTGATTTCCATTTGAGTGCTGGGATTAGATTCCCGAGGGCTGGGAAAAAATTAGGGCATTTGATTAAAATTGCATTGAAGTTGTAGAAAATTCAATAGTTGATCCAACTATTGAAAATGCACTATTGGCTCTGGTGTGGGTGGGCGGGTTTTTATGACTGAGGATGGCTTGCCACTTTTTCCTTTACCGTCCTTAATGCCGTGGTAACAGAGGTGACAATAATCCCAAAAAGTGAGCTGGGGATCCTTCCCTCATCTTCTAATCTCTAGA